CTCTCGCCTTCACTTACAGTGGTACCTGGATTACATACGCTTCAGGTTACAGACTCCGCTAACCCAGAAATATTACCTCGGGTTAAGAACTTTGCTTCAGGATGAGAACAGAAATCATGCTCTGGCGGTGCGGCAGCAGCAGGAGGCCCCAGTAGCTAAAGTGGCACTTCAGGCTAAGAACAGTTTCAGGTTAAGAACGGACCTCCGGAACGAATTAAGTACTTAACCCGAGGTACCACTGTATACCTCATGGTTGCAGTACTGCCCAGACTCCATGCCAGAAACCCTGGAGTCAGAGGTCAGAGAAGTGTGTAACAATATAAACAGACCTCATTGTTAATTCTTCAACATTGCAAGTGAAATGAATGATCCAGGATTTAGTGCAGAGATAATAAATGGAAAACCAGGTTGGAGTAGTTTGGAGTAGAGACCAGAAGCAAAACTGATGAGGATCAATGAAATATGAGGCCTTGGAAAAGGAGAATCTGCTCCAGAACTTTAAGGAAGTTAAAAAGATAGAATCACAGTAGTTAGCAAGAGATTAAAGATGTGATGCACGGTGGAACAGCATCCGAGGGCCAGAGTAGCTGCAGAGAGGTTTTCCATGCTCATTTGGGGAAATATAGTTACATGAAGGGACGCGGGTGGCGCTGTGGGTTAAACCACAGAGCCTAGGACTTGCTGATCAGCAAGTCAGCGGTTCGAATCCCTGTGACGGGGTGAGCTCCCGTTGCTCGGTCCCTGCTCCTGCCAACCTAGCAGTTCGAAAGCACGTCAAAGTGCAAGTAGATAAATAGATACCGCTCCAGTGGGAAGGTAAACGGCGTTTCCGTGCGCTGGCCCGCTTCATGCTAAGTCATGCTAGCCACATGACCCGGAAGCTGTACGCCAGCTCCCTCGGCCAATAAAGCGAGATGAGCGCCGCAACCCCAGAGTCGGCCACGACTGGACCTAATGGTCAGGGGTCCCTTTACCTTACCTAGTTACATGAAAGGCTATTTGGCAGCAAGTGGCAAAACCCTTACTCAGGTAAATGAAGCAAACAAGCGAAAGGCTCTAGTAAGCAACCTTTAGAAAACCATGAGTATGGTGTGGCCAAAGACTGTGTGCAGATTCATACTTTATTTGTGGATGAAGACATTGAGCCTCTATGTAAGGCAGAACTGCTCCCCCCCAGCTGTTTTGGACTACAACTCCCATCAGCCCCCAAGCTAGCAGAGCCATGCTGGCTGAAGCTGATGCAAGTGGTAATATAAAACAGCTGGAGGGTAGCAAATTGGAGAAGGCTGAGATAAAGGCTCAAGCTGATGGCTGCTTGCGCTCCGGTGTGAAGGCCACATCACAGCCAAAAGGGTTTCCCTGCCCCTGCTCAGGATTAAGTTCCAGACCTATGGGCTCATAAAGCCAGTTTCTCATGAAACGTGAAGATATCTGAGCTGGAGTTAGTGGAATTGTTTGGTAAGCAGAACATATCTTTTTATTTTCCTGGAATTGTTATTGTAGGACAAGACCGCTGTCCCTGGGATCCTGGGCTGTCATTTTCATGCGCAAACAATGTGTATAGACATTTGGCCTTGGTTACACGAACAGAATGCAGTTTTATGCATGATATAGAAAGATATGACGAGGCCTAAATGTTTTCTTTCCTTAAGAACAAGCAACAGCCTTGGGAGGAAGCTGTTGTGGGCAGAAGTGAGGCTGAGGAAGGTGTGGCTTTGCTTGACCCTCTGCTCCTCTGGTGTTTTCCTACTCCAAATCTCATCTGCTCCCAGCTGATTTCTGCTCCAGCCTGGGTTGGTGCATAGCTGTCAACTTATTATTTGAAAATAAGGGATCAGCAGCCAAAATAAGGGATTTTCAGAGCACAGGTATGTTCGACTTCTGAGCCCACCCAAGCCAAAGGCAGAAAGCCCAGCCAGCAGCCAAACGAAGCCTCAAGCGGTGGTTCCCATAGCGCAGCAACCCGGCAAAGGGGATGCAGCAAGGAAAACCACCGTCACCTCTCTGCTGGGAAGCACTGAGCAAAGGCGAGTCCCCAGGCAATGCGGCCGATTTGATCGGCACAAGGCATGCAAGCTCCACCCCCTAGTCGTTCTTAGACTCCTTATTGGGTGAGCAACGCAGCCAAGCAACACAGTTGGAGCCTCCCTCCTCCCTGGCTGGCAGGGAGGGAGGGGGAGGAGATGCTTCCTTTGAAACCCAGGAAACTTAAGGGACATCATCAATAAGGGACAGCAGCGGGACACAGCGCTGGGATAAGGGACTGTCCCGCCAAATAAGGGACGGTTGACGGCTATGGGATGGTGTGCAGAGCAGCTTTGGTGGGGTGATTTGGAGTGGGAACACAGCTGGCAGGGAAAGGGTGAAACACCCTTCTCCCCAACCACTCCTCTTGCAAACCCTCCACCTCCTGAAGGTGCTTTTCCTTACAGAGAGAGAGAAAAATACTCCTGTGGCTTCCTTATATCCATATGCTCTCCTTCCTGGAGCCGAGAAACATAGCAAGCATGACATTCGCAAGTTGGCCAGTAGCATAGAAAAAGCCCTTGCTGGCAGACTCAAGATACCCTCCTTCAATTCAGTGTTCTGTCATGCCCTCAGTGGAGAGGGGCCTGTTGAGGCACGCCTGGATAATACTGGCTCCCTTGGAAGTAAACAAATGTGCTTATTCTTATATCTTACACAGCTTAAAAGCCAATTATCCAGCAGCTCAGCTGGTACCAACACCTTCATTTTCTCTTGAGATTACATTTTTATCCGGACGTTGCTGCACTTAGCTCTTGTCAGTGACCCATAGATGCTCCTGGTGGTAGGCAAGGCGTAAATCCGCTTTCTCAGGGTCTACCCATTAATGTCTGGCAAGACTGCTTAATACTGTGGTTGAATGTTGTTATTGTTTAGTCGTTTAGTCATGTCCGACTCTTCATGACCCCATGGACCAGAGCACACCAGGCTCTCCTGTCTTCCACTGCCTCCCACAGTTTGGTCAAACTCATGCTGGTAGCTTCGAGAACACTGTCCCACCATCTCGTGCTCTGTCGTCCCCTTCTCCTTGTGCCCTCCACCTTTCCCAACATCAGGGTCTTTTCCAGGGAGTCTTCTCTTCTCATGAGGTGGCCAAAGTATTGGAGCCTCAGCTTCAGGATCTGTCCTTCCAGTGAGCACTCAGGGCTGATTTCCATAAGAATGAATAGGTTTGCTCTTCTTGCAGTCCATGGGACTCTCAAGAGTCTCCTCCAGCACCAGAATTCAAAAGATTGAATACCTGCGGTTAAAGATACAAGTTCTGGTGGTGGTTCAAAAAAGAAAATTTAAGGGAGGGTGGGTTTTGTTTTTTCCTTTCTAAAAATAAGCTGCCAGTACTCATATGGGTACAAGCATTCCGGCACAAGATGGCTGCCATAGGCACCAAAAATATGAGTGGTGCATTAAGTTAGCTGCATCTAGACTAAACGTGAGGGCAGCAGGCTAGCTTGGGGGTGCCTAAGGTAAGTTATGTGACCCACATGGCCCTGTCCACTTCCCATCTTTTGGCACCTGCTGCCTGAGATGACCACCTCATTTGGTCCCCTGGCAGTTACCTCAGGCGGCAGGTGACGAGGTGCAGGAAGTGGGCAGACCTGGGCCAGCCTGCTGCTCCCTCCTGTCTTATTGTGAGGTGAAGGAGAAGCGGTGTGCTCACCTGCCACAGGTGCAGCTGCAACACCAGGAGAAAGGGTGGGTGGAAACCAGTATTGATGCACCCACCTGCTTCCTCCTCCATCTTAGGGGACAGTGATGGTTGTTGAGGCCTGGCAGCCGCATCAGTACCATCTTGCCTGCAGAGGTTTGTCTGCCTTCTCCTGCACTTCAGCCTTGCCAGCGTTTGGTGTAGCGCTTGCCTTGCAGTTTGGGCCAGCGGCAGCTCAGTCCTTGTTCCTGCCTTTCACCATAGTGCCCTAAGATGCTCTTCAAACCTATCAAGATCCTTGCTGTTTTCTCATATGTACAGTGGTGCCTCGCAAGACGAAATTAATCCGTTCCGCAAGTGTCTTCGTCTAGCGGTTTTTTCGTCTTCCGAAGCAACCCTATTTGCGGCTTAACGGATTAGCGCTATTAGCGGTTTAGCGGCTATTAAAGGCTTATCGGCTTAGCGGCTTAGCTGCTAAAAGGCTATTAAAGGTTTAGCGGCTTAGACAAAGGGGGGCCGACAGCGGGAAAAAAAATATCAAGACTCGCAAGACATTTTCGTCTTGCGAAGCAAGCCCATAGGGAAATTCGTCCTGCGAAGCAACTCACAAACAGAAAACCCTTTCGTCTAGCGGGTTTTCCGTCTTGCGGGTTTTCCGTCTTGCGAGGCATTCGTCTTGCGGGGCACCACTGTATATATGTGTGTGTGCATATGTATGTTTGGGGGGCGCTACTTGGTTGGGAGGCGTCTGTTTGAGGGTGGCATTTAATAATAATAATAATAATCAAATTTTATTTATATCCCGCCCTCCCCAGCCGAAGCCGGGCTCAGAGTGGCCAACAACAATAAAAGTACAGTGGTACCCCGGGTTACATACGCTTCAGGTTACATACACTTCAGGTTACAGACTCCGCTAACCCAGAAATAGTGCTTCAGGTTAAGAACTTTGGTTCAGGATGAGAACAGAAATCGTGCTCCGGTGGCACGGCAGCAGCAGGAGGCCCCATTAGCTAAAGGGGTACCTCAGGTTAAGAACAGTTTCAGGTTAAGTACGGACCTCCGGAACAAATTAAGTACTTAACCCGAGGTACCACGGTAACACAGTTTACATAAAATCACAATCAATTAATTGAAATGCATTCTAAAATCAATTCATTCTAAAATCAATTCAAAAACAAATTAATGGCAACCATTGGGCTAGAGTTTCCTAGAGTTTTCTTGTTTCCTATAAGTGTAGACATATTTACCTTATTTCATAAAATTAAGAACGTTGAGTTGGAAAGGGCCACAGGCGTCATCTAGTCCAGCCCTCTGCAACGCAGGAAACTTTTGCCCAAGGTGGGGCTCAAACTCCCATCCCTGAGATTGAGTCTCATGCTCTACCAACTGAGCCATTCATACACTACAGTAATATCGAGAAGAAGCAGTAAAATCGAGAAGAACAAAATACTACCCTGCTTTGAAACATACGAAAATTAAGATGCTAAAACTGATTAAAAGGACCTAAGGTTTCTAAGCATCTGGGTAGGCTTGTTTAAATAGGAATGTTTTAAACAGGAGTATAGGGAAACATCTGCTTGATCTCAATAGACAGGGAATTCCAGAGAGTAGACGGTGACACACTAAACAGCTGAGTTCTTAAAAATGTGGAATAGGCATTATGTGGCACCTGTAGTAATTCCAGTTCCGCCGATCGAAGTGGTTGCGTGGGCACACGTGTAGGGTAAGGCAGTCTCACAGGCAAATTGATCCCGACTTATAAGGGCTTTATATACCAATAGTAATGCCTTGGACCTGGCTCAGTAGCAAATCAAGTTCAGATCAAGCGCGAGGGAAGCCCCACATAGAGCGCATTGCAGTAATCCAGTCTTGATGTTTTGCCTATTTTCTCAGTGTGTATATATGTGCGTCTGAGCATCACCTGTTTTATGTGAAATGGGTATTTTGTGGCGCCCCTGACAGTTTATTATATTTCCAAATGTGTCCCTAGGCCTGGAAAAAGATGGGGAAGCCCTGACCTATGGCCTGCCAGCCAAATCCAGCCAGCCTGCAACCAGGAGGAAGCAGAACGGGGTGAGTGGAATGGGGACTGAGAGGAACAATGGAGGGGGAATATATAAAAATAGATGTGTCAATAAATATATAGATATGATTCTGCACAGACAGTTGACTGCGGAGTATTGCTCAGCTTGTTTGTTCTTTGCTCTTTTAGCAAAGCACCATTTCACGGTTGCTTGGCGCCTTCGTCTTCTATCCTTTAGTAATGGGGACGGATTAATTTGGAATCATGGGCCACTGAGCTGAGAGCTCAGGTGTGTCAGAAATCGCAGGTGGCTGGTGCTGACTAGACAGCAACTGAATGCACAATTCTTTGATTAGGCTCCCGGGAATGGAGTAATTAGCAGCCATGAATATACCACAGCTTGCCTTCTACTGCCTCATTAGCTGCAACACCGATGTTACTTTTAAAAGCTTCAGGGAGCGAGGGGGCAAGTGTAACTTCTCACCCAAGCTATTGGAAAGTTGAAGTTCATGAGGGGAAGAGTGCTGGCGTAAGCGTTTTTGGATTTCACCAAATGGGCCTTCGTGGCCGCTGGCATTAGTCGCTACGTAGGGCCTAGGGAGCTCTAAAGCAGGGGGCCGGTCCACTGTCCCTCAGACCTTATGGGGGGCCGGACTATATTTTGAAAAAAAAAAAATTAACGAATTCCTATCCCCCACAAATAACCCAGAGATGCATTTTAAATAAAAGCACACATTCTACTCATGTAAAAACACCAGGCAGGCCCCACAAATAACCCAGAGATGCATTTTAAATAAAAGGACACATTCTATTCATGTAAAAACATGCTGAGTCCCGAACTGTCCGCGGGCCGGATTTAGAAGGCAATTGGGCCAGATCCAGCCCCTGGGCCTTAGTTTGCCTACCCATGCTCTAAAGCTAGCTGCGAGCCTCACGATGGCAGACTTTGGTCAGGCTATTAAAAGGATTTAAATGGTAGATAAAGATGTATACTTTTAAAAAATGAAGTAATGGACTTTAAACATTGAAATCAAAATCAAAATGCCATTGCCATTGTTGTACACTTGTTCCCCTAATGTGCATGTGTTAAAACACAAAGCCTGCACTTCTTACAATGGAATTAATGACCTTGGGCTCAGCGCATTTGCCAAAATCCGACGCTGGGAAATGTGTGGGCAAAGGGGGAGTTCATTTTTCCCAGGATTGAAAAGTCTGTACTGGGAGACTGCCTGCCACTCATACGTCGCTTATCCGGGTGAGAGAGGAAAATGGAAGGTTTTATTTAGGCCTCTCCTCCCATGCCCACCCCCCAAAAACAACCCCAAACAGATAGATAGTTCTGTTCAAAACAATCTAAATGTGGTACATTGGACTTTTCAGCCTGGGAAATTCATGCACAGTCCGGCCTCAATACACAGGTCTCCCGGTTGGATTGGAGGAACCGAGTTAAAACTTTTATATGTAAGGCAAGGGCCATGAGAGATCAGGCATAGATATGTCACAAAATATCATGCGCTCTCTATATATTTCTGGCCTTGATATTGGGAACCAAGGACAGACATGATACAATTATGCTGTCCCGCAGGCTTCTTAGTTTGCCACTGTGAGAGTAGGATCTTGAGCTAGATGGACCGTTGACCTGATCAAGAAGGCAATCCTTATGTTCTTAAGTTCTTAGTATAATCCACTGAAGACACCTGGGATGATCTCATTCTCCCATTCTATGCTCTCCAACTACTCAAACGCTGCAATTTGCTCACAGGAAAAACTCTCGCGTTACGGATATTTTTCTGGAAAGGATCGCCCAGTCTTGCTTAGAAGTATTAAATGGGTCTTACCGAATAGTAAGTGTCCCTATGGTTGCAACTTCAGCCTGTAATTAAACGGTCTTGCTCAGTATCCTTGCCCACATACACACATACACACAGAGAGAAACATCAACGTATTGTTTGAAATTAAAATAGAGTGCGTTGTTGATGTTCTTTCAACCTGAATTCGTCCCCCTAGATATTTCAATTCACCAGTGGAAGCAAAAATCTATGGTAGTCAGAGGAAAAAGAAGGCAGGGCCCCTGTCTCTTTAACAGCTGTGTGGAAGAGCAATTTCAGCAAGTTTCACCTGCTGAAAGAATTCTTTCTATGAAACATCCCGGAACAATGTCTATTTTTCACATGGGGGTTAATGCCAATATTGAGAGGATTTTCATCAGGACTATGGTGAGGTATGTGGTCTAATCTGCAGCTTTTTTGGGGGGGGGGACCCTACACATGCTAAATGCATTCACATATTTGCCATTAAAAATTACTATTATTATTATTAATTATTAATTATACCCCGCCCATCTGGCTGGGTTTCCCTAGCCTCTCTGGGCGGTTTCCAACAAAGTATTAAAATACAGTGGTCTGTTAAACATTAAAAGCTTCCCTAAACAGGGCTGCCTTTAGATGTCTTCTAAAAGTCTGGTGGTTGTTCTTCTCTTTGGCATCGGGTGGGAGGGTGTTCCACAGGGCGGGTGCCACTACCGAGAAGGCCCTCTGCCTGGTTCTCTGTAACTTGGCTTCTCACAGCGAGGGAACCGCCAGAAGGCCCTCAGCGCTGGACCTCAGTGTCCGGGCAGAACGATGGCGGTGGAGACGCTCCTTCAGGTATACTGGACCGAGGCCATTTAGGGCTTTAAAGGTTAGCACCAACACTTTGATTTGTGCTCGTAAACGTACATGTAGTTTTCTTCTGAGAGCTCTGTCAAGGGAGGACTACATGACCCCATTACCAACACATTCTGGAGCCTGAATCCAGAACATGAAAGTTCTCCACACAACACACAGACTTCTTCTCTTTTCCCTCTTTGAGGTCCACTGAAACCCTCTTAACCACAAGTGGCTGGGGCAACCCAGCCATATGGGTGGGGTATAAATAATAAAATTATTTGCTGTTTAGTCGTTTAGTCGTGTCCGACTCTTTGTGACCCCATGGACCAGAGCACGCCAGGCACTCCTGTCTTCCACGGCCTCCCGCAGTTTGGTCAAACTCATGCTGGTAGCTTCGAGAACACTGTCCAACCATCTCGTCCTCTGTCGTCCCCTTCTCCTTGTGCCCTCCATCTTTCCCAACATCAGGGTCTTTTCAGGGAGTCTTCTCTTCTCCTGAGGTGGCCAAAGTATTGGAGCCTCAGCTTCAGGATCTGTCCTTCCAGTGAGCACTCAGGGCTGATTTCCTTCAGAATGGATAGGTTTGATCTTCTTGCAGTCCATGGGACTCTCAAGAGTCTCCTCCAGCACCAGAATTCAAAAGCATCAATTCTTTGGCGATCAGCCTTCTTGATGGTCTAGCTTTCACTTCCATATTAATTGTTATTATAAGAGACAGAATCTGACCTAAGTGGAGCCCATCACAACCTGAAGCAACCATAAAATAATCATCTCAACTCAACCCATTCCGACTCCGTAAAACAAAAAGGAGGAAAGCTCTTGCCCACCTCTCAGCTTGTTCTTCCCGACAGCCCCCCAAACTGTCAGCACCCTTAGGCACCCGTCTCTAGGCGGCAAGATCCTTCTGCAAGTCTCCTGGGCCCAGATGAGCTGGTATAGTTGTGTTATCCCCTTGGCTGCCCTCCAGAGTAAACAGAAAAGCGCCCATCAGCAGCATGAGAAGCCGCTGTTATAGCTGCAGTTTTGGAGCTCCTGTGAGCCTGGGCATGTTTACTCAGAAGCAAGCTCCTCAGCGTTCAGCGAAACCCACTTCCAAGCAAGGGAGCGCACATCTGCAGCCTTGGAGGCGATGGCGGCCTATCTCCAAAACAGCTGTTCCCGTGGTATGCTGCATTCCCTTAATCATTCTCAGAAACAGCAGCACTCTGCTTCGACTAGAGACAAGGTGGAATTTTATTTGGTAAGGACTGTGAGTAAAATTAACCAAGATAATTAAGGGGTTGCAGTTGAAGGCCAAGCCACCACTCATAGCGCACAGAAATGTAACGCAGCCACCACAAGCCCTGGGATCACGTGAATTAGCACTAAGGGATCCTTGTTCCCTTAGCATGCTTGCCAACCTCAGTAGAAGGTTTAGAGCATAAGGGAGGGATGTGTGTGAATCTAGCAATTGTCTTTGTCTGCCCCAGCTGTTGTGGCTTCTGCAGGCACCTATATTTTTATATTTCTGCCAGCAGTTGTTAATCTCTCCTCAGTTCCTGTGCAGGAAAAGGTTTTTTTTAGGCGTCTCCACCCCTAAATCGGGTTCTGGTGATGAAAAGAGCTCTATAATCTGAAAGAGAGGCTTTGCATTGCAGGTATCTTAGCAAACCAAGACCTGGTCTCTTGCAAAACGTTCCTTAGACACGGTTTGCTTTTGTTTAATTATAGGACAGGGCTTGCTAACTTTT